CTTTTTCATTGTGAAATAGGGAAGGGGATAGGCAAACACACACACAATCCAAAACAGACAAGTAATTATTAATAATGTATCATTGCAATTAATTTATTCTGTAAAAATACTGTTATGGGAATAACAAATGTCAAATAAATACGACGATTCGTCGACAATGTGTAGCAATGCCTGAAGTCACGTTTCATCGATAATGTGTAGCAATGCCTGAAGTCGGATTTGGTAGCACTTTCAGTGTCTGACCCTACACTCGAATCACTTGTACCTCCGTTGTACAATTGTTTACCAAGTTTGGTACGGCAAACTTTTTTCTTGAAAACTGGGAATAACTTGGGTGGCTGTGGCTGGCGTTGTGGTTGATTTGGTGACGATATAAAATAGTTTCGGATAGAATTGATCTGACCAGCAGCGACAGGAGAAGACATACTTGCAAAGCAAGCATGGAACGAATGAAGAAAATGATGCCCAATCACTTGTATTTATAGCAAAAACAATAAATAAAAACACGTTTTTCTATAGATTTTTACAGCTTGGGTACTTGGGCATTGTTTTAATTGCGCTAGACGTCTGACAGTACAGCTTTGGTTTATATTTCCTGTTTCATAATCAAGCCAGCTTATAATGATATTCACGTACTTCACAGTCCACGCAAACGGGGTCAAACTATAGCCCCACCCCTATATAACCAAATACGAAACGATACCGAGAAAGTAACAATTACATGTATTAAAAATAATTTCCTGTGACCAATCGGAGAGACGAAATCATTCACGAAAGCCCAGGCCTGTTACAAGGCATTTTCTGATTGGTACAAGTTCAGATTATTTTCAATTCTCACAAATAGCTAATTTAAATATTTGGGTCAGTGGGTCACGTAGACTTCACTTTGCTGTAAGACAAGTTGATCGCGCAAGTTTGTGGAACTAATCCATTCGACTTCAATTTTGATTATTTTCGGCAAGAGAGTCCTCTCCAAACTAATGCCAGTTATTTTGTTACTTCCCTGAAGATTTTGTCTCGAATCACCCCAAAACGAACGTCTCAAATGAAATGCAAAAAATAACCAAAAATCACGATCAGCGAGAGTGGGTTGCGTAATCATTACATTCTCACAGTCGGAGCATTACAGCTCCCTGGTCGGAGCTACGTCACGATCCCTCAAACGTTGCCAGGACCGGATTAACACCTCTGTTTTCCCCCACGCTAAGGAAAAAATCTTTTGTTTTCTGCTGACTTCCTGTTCCGGTCCGTCTGTGAGAATGTATTTTCGATACCTCCGATTTTCCGATAAAGGCGTTCTAAAATCGTGACGTTCTTTACTTGGTTATAAAGACAACATTGACAATGAATATCCATGGAGCTAAAAAAAAATCTTTTTTTAGCTCCATGGAATATCTCAACGTGATCCTTCGGTGTTTCGGCAAAAAACATACTAGTAGTTACTATGAATAGTTTGTGAATTGGTCGATTGTGTGTCAGAAATATAAAATGGACAAGTTGACAGTCACATTCACGCTCTCAGTTCATTTCTTTCGTCTATCATTCTTCCGTTCTCAATTACACAGGACATCAGGCAAGTTATGGGGATAATCTTTATTTGTCTCACACCTTCTATGGGGCAATAAACAATGCAGGGTGGAAGTGAGGCACGACAAGCTCGGTGTCTGCCTGATTGTAAACAACCTGGCGGCTGGCGCTTATTTCAGGGTTCTTATTGACAAAACCACTCAACTCTTGGTGGCTCTTAATGGAGGGTCAAATGTAACAAATTTTCACTGAGTGGCTCTTAATTGAGGGTGGCGCTTATTTGCGGGTTTTTACGGTATCTAATTTTTTTTGTAAGTGGTAGGTATCAATGAGGTCATGTTTATTATATCAACACAAATGTCGCACATGCGCGGTGCGCCGACCACTGCCCTTTAAATTATTTACGTGGAGCATCTTATTTCCGGCATGGCCTCCATGAATAATAAGCGTAAATATCTGGTGCATACAGAATTGCATATTGTGATGCGTACAAACACTATAATGTATACAAATTCCAAGACGCATACAAAACCATGTTGTGTACAAATACTGAGATTCGTACAGTGAGAGTACAATCCC